CGGATGGGTGACATGAATGGAGATGGCTCCAGATCGGCGATGTAGTATTTGGTTTCCCAACAAGGTCCGTCGCCCAACACAAAATTAATTTGCTGAATGCATAAACTGTATTTTCCTGCGCTCAAACCTGCTAATCTAAAGGAAACGCTGTGTATGGCGTTTGAGATCATTTGTGAAGTACCATAGACTTATAGTCTAAATAAAAAAATTTGCAATTATTACTGTTATTACACTTGTATACAAAACTTCATATTATGCTTGTTATAGAGTGCTTGACGTCATGTGCACGATTGCCGTGGCAACCGACCACCGAGGTGACGCGGTTGTCACGGCGACCGTCACAGCCCTAATCACATTGCATTTGTAATGGAAATGCTATCCGTCCTGAATGCGTTCCGAACTACAGAGAAGCTGCGTTTACTCACCGCTCTGTCACTCAACATTTTATCATGCTGTACATGTTATGAAGAAGTGCAGCAAGCAAAGGGATTCAAAATTCACTGCATTGAACCAAAACCACAAATTACAATGGAAATTGCTGTTGCTTTGTTGATCCTTTTCATTGCATCACTTCCTGTTGACTCATAAGCTGCATAACATAAGCCATAACATGGCTTGTCAATTTTTGTATTTATGTGTGGCACTTGGCCTTTCATGAAAGTGATCTAGCGTGTGACAAAATAAGTGGGGAGATTTTTGCCAAAAAAGATCAGATCACAAATCTGCCCCAGGTGTATGTCTTAGTGAGGTCAGGTATATTCTCAGTGACCTCAGCTACCTCACTCAGAAGCCGATTAATTTTTGACTGTGTGGGAATTAGTACAGAAGCATTCCATGCAGATTAAACACACTGTAGAAACAGTTACTTCCTGTAAGTGATAAGACTGCTAAACAGCCACACTGCTGTCACTTTTAGAGCCACACCACCCAGCCATCACCAAAATGATCAACACAAAAGCCCCATCTCAACCTCAGGAAAAAATAAATAAATAAAAAATTGCACTAATCATCAGTGCTACTTTTTTAAATCCACAAATTAAGACAAAAAGTGAGCAGTTTTAATCCTTGACTTAATTTACTTTTCCAAGAATTCCTAACATGTACGGTATACACACTTCAGCTTTTCTCTACCAATGTTTTAAATCCATTTCTCCAGTGCAAAGCATAGTCCTGTGTCACAACTCCACATTCTGAGTCTGTGATTGGATTTTATTTCACATCAAGAAAAAGGCTGTTGTTTTTGTACTTAAGGACAAAATACTATATAGAACCCTCCAGTGCTAGCAATGGTATAAAACAGATAAATTAAACAACAAACTAATACAAAAAGTTCTGTTGACTATTATTTTTTATTTTATTTCCTTAGTTTTTTTTTTACAATAACTGAAAGTTCCAAAAAGCAACTATTGGTGCTGGATAATAAGTAAAACAGGTATATAATTCAACCTTTAATATAAGCACATTTTACACTATGAAGTGTTTGAAGAGCGTTTTCAGTTTGCAACAGGGACCTAAATTTTTACAATGTTGCATTCTTCGTTCACTTTCCGAAGGCAGCATTTCAGAGTGTACCAAAATGTAGCCTATTTATGCAAGTCACATGTGAGAAAATCTGTCTTCTCATAAGTCGGAGTGCACCTGTTTATGTTCTGGGATTCTGCTAATAGCTTCATCCATCAGGATGGATTGAGTTAGCTCTACTAAGCTATACTACTATATATCAGTTAGTGGGAATAAAGGCTTTTCGAGACAACATTCTTGCATAGAAAAGCTATTAGACAACATTCAGGGTGTAGGTGTCACTAATGTGCTTCACCCTTAGAATTAAACACTGATGCTTTTTACGTAACACATTTTCCATTATGAATTACGGTTGTTGTGGGGTGGATCTGAGCGTGATAGCTGTGTTTATATAAGCCTAATGTTTATATATGCCTAAACAAGCTGAACTGAAGGAGAAAAATGTGCCAGGTTCTGAAACAAATGCTCCAAACAGGCCAGGCATGAAAAAGGCCCAAGAGTATTAGTTAGTCTTTGCAACTTCAGGGATCTTATCTATGCACAATCAGCTTGTAACACTCCAAAGAGAAAGGAAAACTTGAAATCGCATCATATGACCCCTTTAAAGTACTTGTTTACCTGTCATGTCCGGTGCTGTATGCATGGCTTGCAGCACTGAAGTTAAAATACTGAGTGTTAAATAATACAGTAATATGTTAAAACGTGTGCTCTTATCATTCTGTGGACAAAATCCTGTTAACTTCGCCCAATCGGGAGCTGTATATGCACATGAGCATCTGTTTTCAATGCAGCTAACCTTGCATCGCTTCATGTTAGGGCTGCATGATTAATTCCACCGTGGGCCGTCATTATGGCTGTGGCCTGGGTCCAGCTGGACTCCTCCTGTCTCCTCCCTGGACTCTGTCTGCCGGCCCCGTCCGGGTGTCCGTCCTCCTCCTTAGTCCCCCCCCTCTGTTGTTCCAAAGCCCCAGTCCATTCAGTTAGTGTTTGTCGGGTCTACTTGTTGGATTGTGTGTTATTCTCCTGTTATTTCTTGGATTAAAGACTGTTTTTGTATTACACGTCTCGGCGCTCCTCGCCATCACAGATCGTGACAACGATACAGGAATTTCTAACTTCAATACCTTGAAAAATATCAATATTAAAGTACCTGTGAACCGGCAGTTGCAGCTGACTTCAGTGTTGTGATGTGATGCGGGTGTCGCTGTTGGACAGTGTTATTCCTGCTTCCTGTTTGCAGTGCTGCTGGTTTGTGATTGTAGCTTCGTGTAGCTTTGTTTTTCTGTAAAATCTCTATTGCTCCTTCATTCCAGTGCTCTCAGAGGAGAACTGGCCCCCTGACTGAGCCTGGTTTCTCCCAAGGTTTTTTTCTCCATTCTGTCACCGATGGAGTTTTGGTTCCTTGCCGCTGTCGCCTCTGGCTTGCTTAGTTGGGGACACTTCATTTCCAGCGATATCGTCGCCTTGATTGCACAGATACTATTTAAACTGAACTGAGCTGGATGATGACATCACTGAATTCAATGATGAACTGCCTTTAACTGAAAAATTAGTGTTTACTATTGTAATTTTTGCATTATTGACACACTATTTTCCTAATTAATGCTGTTCAGTTGCTTTGACACAATCTGTATTGTTAAAAGCGCTATATAAATAAAGGTGACTTGACTTGACTTGACTTGATGTACTTCCGAGTGAAACGGAATACTGAATAAAGGGCGGGGTTTTATTGTGGTGCACCTCCACTCCACCTCTTGCTCATAGCAGATTCACGGTTGGAGTGGTTAAGAATATCTGCTTGTTACGTCTGACATCACTCTTCACCGCTTCTGGGTCCTAACGCTCTGCCTGACGCCACAAGAAAACAACAAACTGTGCTAATTTACACCCACGATGTCATGTAATGCTGAAAAAGTATAACCCTAACCTTTATCTCCATACTGAAATCCCAGATTGCCAGACAGTGATTCGGCTAAAATATTAGTGTCTGAGACACTGTGAGCACGGAGACTGTAGTGTGCACAGCAAATTTTTAAATGCTTAGTTTAAATATGTAATATTAATTAAAAAGTGCTCATAAATGGCTGTTGAGATAGTAGTATTCTCAAGTGAAATGAGTAGAGGCATGGACCTGGAAACAGCAGTCCTGATGTCATGACTTAACAAGAGGATCCTCCCCAAGCTGTCAAACTGACGTCATCAGAGCAAGAACGCCAATCCAAAGCGGAAACAAATTTTCAGTTTTTGATTAAAGATTATGATGGCCTACAATTTTTTTTCTCCGGTTTATTGACTTGCACGGTTTAAAGGGGTCATATGACGTTGCTAAAAAGATCATTATTTTGTGTAGCAACAATAAAGTTACGCCTTCTTTCTTTGTGTGAACATTTGGGCGGTGTTATGCAAATCTTCCCACACAGTGACGTAGACATGTGGGGGCGTGTTTAAACGAGGCGTTTTAGGAGGGCGTGGACGAGTCTTAACTTTTATAAAGAATATCTCTTTGGGTTTGAGACTTTAGTCTTTGCAACTTTAGGGATCTTATCTATGCCCGAACTGCTTGTAACACTCCAAAGAGAAAGGAACACTTGAAATTGCATCATATGACCCATTTAAGTGTTCACCACAAGACTAGTAATGTGCAGTTAAAAAGTAGGATCATTTTTGATTTCATGACAACTTTAATCATTTTTAATACCATTGGCAAAACTATACTGTATACTGCCATATAGATATTTTAATATCTCAATTCTTTTTGTCCATCTATTTTTTGTCAAGGCAATCATTATTTCAAGCTTTAAATGGTTTAATCAAAGTCTTCTAAAAAGACACGTTTGCTTTATATAAACAGATTTTAATATAGGCTTTTATTTAAATACATATAAACATTGATTAATAACCATTACAAAAATCTCAATCTTAAACATTTGCTCATTCTGTGTATTTGTGTCTTTAAAATAGGGTAACTTTGTTGCAAAAGCTTACAGAACAAGGAAGCATGATTTAAAATTTGATTTCAAACTGAATTTTACAAAAAAAAAAAGACAAGCGCACAGTCAGTAATAAAAAATTATATAAACAAATGACCTAAAGAGCACAAGGAAGCTTGATTTCAAATTTGATTTCAAACTGAATTGAATTTACAAAAAAAAAAAAAAGACAAGCACACAGTCAGTAATCAAATAAAAATCATAAAACAAATTACCTCTATTCAGTTGAGGTATTCAAAATATGACAACACTGATTTTTATAGGCAGTGTTTTAAGAGCCATATATGTGGTTTGTTTATATAAAGGTATACCAATACTCTGGTTAGTAATGCATGAAGCTGGTGATGTTGTTTGTGGAGTAATTATCTTCTGCTGAGATCTTGAGAGATTTCATGTTTTCTTTAATTTCAGTTGATTTCATCTAAGGCTGTGGCTGAAGTCAGTTGTAGTTCTTGTGTTTCTCTTTTCGGTCCCACTTTATATTAAGTGGCCTTAACTACTATGTACTTACATTTAAATTAATAATTTGGTACAATGCACTTATTGTGTACATACATGTTTTACATTGTACTTATATTTGAAAAATACCTGCATGTAATTACATCTGTAATTAATTTCTGTAATTACATTTATAATTACACAGTTGACCCATCCCTTACACCTTAACCCACACTTAAACCTACCCATACCAACAAACCTGTCCCTAACCTTACCC